ACACACACACACACACACACACACACACACACACATCAAATATATACCAACAATGCACTTTAAGTTTACACTGCTTTTAAATGTCCAGATTTATGGCTATAGCCCTGTTTTATTATCGCAACCTAAGAAACAACACTGTAGGCAATTCCTTTTCCTAAACAGCCCATTCACATTTCCCCGCAAGCCATGCACAGAGAACACGAGTAGTCCTGTGGGAAAGTGAGGCAGAGCTGTGGACCTTTGCAATAATAAGATTAGGATCTTGGAGCGTCGTCTGCAGGGACTGGACAACATTGTCCACTGCAATAAAGAAAAGTCTCACACTGCCTGGCAAGGGTGCAGGCTTATCTGCTTCTCACTCTCTGCCTCCGAGTTCAGCACTGGTACAATTAAAACTCAACTTTCCCAAAACATTCATGAAGTAAAGCAGCTAAAATGACAAGAAAATAATGAAACAATGCTCTGTCTGCTTTCACTAACTGTCTCCTCTATTTGCAGTCACACACAAACACACTGTGCCCATACGTGTTAATGTGATTTTCAGTCTCATGGGTGGGGGAGCCCCACAGAGGGGAGCGCGGGCTCTGGGGGTCCGGGGACGCTGGGGACAAGGCCGCTCCTTCCATCAGCCACTGGTCCCTGAGTGACTTTCTCTGCAGTGAGAGAGAGGAGGTGAGGAAGAGAAAGCAGGAGAGAGTGAGTCAACTTTCATTAGTTGTGTATCGTGATAATAGGATTACCTTGTGTTCCCCAAATAAATTGTCATGAAATTCGATGAGATACAGTTTTGAATGGTATTAGTATCTCAACTGATGAATTTTGTTATACAGTATCCCTCATACTGTGATATCTAGCCCTCTAATACTAGGCCTTTGTGAGCAGCACTGCAACACCGAGCAAAGGTGCGTTATGACCCACTCCCATAATGGAATAAGGGTCCGTACCTTCAACATCAAATTGATTTGCTTTATCAAAATATAGAATATAACATATGTATCAGGAAATATTGTTATGATTGCAAACATTACTTAACATTACCTAACCCTAACCCTAACCCTTTAGTGGAGGCAGTAGTGAAAATATGAAAAGAGGAATTGAATGCAGCAAATTTAATAAAAGTATAATATTGGCAATACAAAATAAAAACAGTATGAGGCTGTCAATTCACAATTTAGGCTCTAGTTACAATTCTGATTAACATTGACAATTGTAATGTTATCCAATGTCTTATTGCCACCGTCCCAAACATACAGAGGAATTCAGAAAGAAATGTCCTCAGTGACAAGAAGAACAAGGAGCCGTGTAACAGATGAGCCTCCACAGAGTCCTGATCACAACAATATGGAGACAGTCTGGGATCACATGAGGAGTCACAAGACACTGACAGAGACTAAATCCAAGATGCTTAAAAAATACCTGCCAAGAAAAACAGTGCTGTTTGCTATTAAATTGGTTTACTACACTTTGAATCAGGTAAATTAACAACTATTCAATGCATTTATTTAGAGTGAGAAACTGAGGTGGGGATCATAACGTTAAATGTGATTATTTGAGGTTATTTGAGGGGAGGGGAGGATGAGATTTAAAAAAAAAAAGAAGGTGAGAGACAGAAACGTCTGACCCCTCCCCTTCCTCTCAGTTATCCAGGAGAAAGAGCTAGTCTGAATTTTATAGGATGCAGATGCTTTATTCACTTCATTTCTATTTTTGTTCCACCACTGCTCTCCAGGAAATAGACATGACCCAGTGAATGAAAGCTGCCAGGGGCTACTTACCATTCCCTTCTGACACAACACCAAACCAGGAGCTTTCAAGTTTTACAAAAACAGGAGCACAATTCTCTGTGGTTTGTCGAGCTGACTGAACATCGTTTTCAAAAGAGACTGTTACAAGACATGCAGCAACAACAGCACACGACTCCTTTAAGTGTGATTGTGATTTAATACACAGCACATGAGATTTTATGTTGCTTTGTAGTATATCAGTTTATTTCACCTGCACTAATTAGTGTCATCACTGGGGACTAAACTTCAAAAAGAAAAAATGTGGGGAAAATGTTTTTTCTTAATGTAGTTATTGTATATTTACTTTTACTTTGATGCATTTAGAAAATCAGCACAGTGTTGTCAGCTCTGTTTCCAGGACACTGTCAAGTATATCTTATGCAAACATTGGCAGACTTTGTCAAATTTGAAGCAAGTACATTGATTTATATTTAAAGACAGGAAAAAATCCCCCACCAAGGACCAAACTAGTTGGAAAGATATTTACTTTAACGTGAGCTGAAGTCGCCAAACAAACTCAAGATGATGGTAATTACGGTACGGTTAGTCAGGCTTTTTATTTCCCCACATATATATTTCCATTGTTATTTGTTACAAAACTACTTTATAGACAAATCCATTCCACTATAAAAACCTTTTTCTTGTTCTGGAGGAAATGCATTGCTTCAATATTGACACAGGACAGGCTGCTAAAAATGAATAGAGCCTCTTCAAATGGTTGCACTATGTCGATATTGAACAATCCACTGAACGAGTTTCCGTCTCACCAGAGGGAAAAAACATTTTTCATGCTAACATATGACAGAGCAGCTGTGTTATACATCACACCAATAACAGAGGCCGCAGGGTGACTTCAGTTGCAACCAGCTGACCTTGGTTCAAATGTTTGTTTGTTTCAGCCTGTTCTGTATGTGCATCACTACAGTGCCCTTGAGCCAGACAGTGTCCTCTTGCCTGCTCTAGAAAGGCTGAATCTGATGCTAAAGAGTAGAAATACTGTAACTTGTAGAACATCTAATCAAGTGAAACAGACAGGGTTATCATTTTTCATAACTATGAGGATATAAGCGTCAATATCTGACTTTCTCTTACTGTACAGCCACTTGATGTTTGCAAGCTTGCAAGATGAAAACATGTGAAAACCCAAACTCCCCTCCAGCCTGTGGTCCGATGTTTCCAAAATCTGGCAACAGTTAGCCAGTAGCTACTTACTTGAGTGTAAACGTCACAAAACCATCTCTGTGTTTTTTCATGCGGCACAGAACAAGCCCCGCTCTGTTCCCCTCCCTGTGCCTTTGGCTAGCGAGACACAGTCCCCTCTAAACGTTCCTGCAGGTCAGGAGCTGTGTGTAAGCTGCTGCTCCCTCCTATCACATCCTTACATCTACCTAGGGGTTAACACCAATGTCAAAGCTGATGAATGCACTAAAAGCTACAATGATATCACCTCCTGTGAGAGAGCAATTAAGAGAGTAATGATTTTAAATTCCTCTTTCGGGCCTGTTGAATCTTGAATTGTGACCTCATATATAAAATGCTTTCATGGAGTGCACATATATGTCATAGGGGGATGTGTAAAACATTCTCTTCAGTGCACCCATGCATTCCTGTGTGGACGTAAACGCATGATGCACAAATTTCACACAATTTGAGGAATGTGCCTCAGGGCAGTGGAACATGGCAGAGTAGGAAGTGGGAACGCCAGTCTGGAAATGATGTGAAAACAATAGAGCAGCTCTGTGACTTTGAGAGTGTGTAAACATTCACATAAAAACTGATTTCAGCAAAGGAAGGCTCGCGTCTAACCTTGCAAGAAACTCGCAGAAACAGGAAGTGTGGAAGGTTGTACAGTTGGTCCGTGTGTGTGTGTGTGTGTGTGTGTGTGTGTGT